GTAAATCGTGTGGTTCAAATTTCTTAGAATTTTTATATTTTTGTCAACAGGTCAAAGTAATTAATATTTTGTCAAAATTTTATGAAAATTGAACGAGCCAAAAATATTATAGTCATAGAGTTGGGTACCCCCTTAATTCAATTTTATAAAACATCTCGGTAGTGTATTAAAATTGTTCGACTTCTAGCAGAACTTTTCTATAGATTGACCTCGAGGATCCATATGATTTCACTCTCTGTGCTGAGACAATTAACACTTAAATTAACAGAATAATGAAAACATAATATGTTATTCAGGATCTTCACAGGGGATACGGCCTATTATCTTACTTTGGAGACCGTGTATATTCCATATTAGGTTAGTAGGGAGGCGGGGCTTATTTCAATACACGGTTAGTAGTGGTGTTACGTCCCTTTATAAAAACAAAACGGTACTGAGAAAAAATCTTAAAGGTTTAAACAAACGAAGAAATTGATGATTACGATTGAAATAAATTCATGAAACACATTTAAAGCTAGCAAGTTGTTATTGTTGGCATCTGTTTTTGTATGATCAATGGAAGTAGTTTCGTAATGCTAACGGTATTGAATTCAGACTTGCTCATTTTGATAGGTTACTAGTCTAAATAACACACGTTAAGATAGTCGGTAAGATAAATTCGTTACATAGTGTGCTAGTGACGTAATACTTCGCTCTCACCCCATATGGAATTTACTGACTCCATACATACCGTATTAGGTCACTAGCACACTATGTAACTAATAATTTTCCCTATCTGTGTTTTATATCTCCTTGACCGCCAGATGAATGGATGTAGGACTCTGCAAGGAACATTAGCCCATATAAACCCGAATAAAAAAATATCATACTGCAGTGTCTTGATTTCAACACTAATTACCATTCTGATCTTCGTTTTTGTTCACGTGGTATATGAGCTCATATACTCTGATCTAATCAAATTACCGGATAAGCCGAGATATTTCACTACAGTACAACAAAAATGGTTAAACCGCGACTCAAGTTGAACACAAGCTGTCTGTCTAATTTATACAAAATTTAATGTTAGAATAATATGAAATGTATGCATGCTTTTATATATTGTATTGTTAAATATGTTCAATGGAGAAGACTCCATAATTGTGTTTGACTTGTGTCTTATCCAATTTGTGTTTATGCAAATAAAATATGTTGAAACTGAAACACACACTTTCATATAATAATAATAATAATAATAATAATAATGAATTCTTTATTTAAAGAGGGTAACTCAATTTGAAGTAGTCTAATTTTCATTGAGGCCCTCAAACAAAATACATGTATACAGTTAACATTCATACATTCGATTCATACATTAAAATACAATATATATTACTAGTATATACACAATTCAATCATTCAAACATACAAATGGCAATAAATGGCAATAATTGGTAAAGTTTTGATTAAATTTTCTTATTCTTACAATAAAAGAAAGAAAACAAATTATTCGACTTGCATAGAATTTTCAAGAAAATGATTATAGCAATGTTTCTTAAATAATTCCACATTTCGACAATTTTTTATTTTGAGTGGTAAATTATTCCATACCTTTGTTGCAGAATAATGAAAAGATTTTTTATAAAAATTTGTGTTTGGTCTTGGAACAAATAGATCATTATTAGAGACAGATCGTAAGTTGTGGTGTTGCACATCATTAATATTTAGCATTGTTAAGTAATCAGGTGTTAGTCCATTTACAATTTTATACATTAGAATTGATTGTTGGTATTTTATTCTTTTTGTAAAAGATAGCCATTTTAAAGATGAAAACATAAAATTTGATAGAACAGAAATATCGCATTCAAGTATAATTCTTGCTACTCTTTTTTGAAGTTTTATGATTCTATCTGAATCTGTTTGTAATAAATTTCCCCATACTGAACTACAATAGTCTATATATGGTAGAATATATGCATTATAAAATAGTTGTCTTGTGTGTATAGGCAAATATACTTTAATTTTAAACAAAAGTGATATTTTAGATGAGATAATCTTGCATATACGATCAACATGATCCTCCCAGCTTAAATTTTCATCAATGTCAATTCCAAGTAATTTGAAAGAATGGACATTTTCAATACATGTTTCATTGACGGTAATACATAATTCTGATAGTTGTGTAAGTTTTTGTTTTGAACCCAATTTCATACACTTTGTTTTTTGTGCATTAATTTTCATACTGTTATTGTAACACCAAGATTGTATAGCATTTAAATCATTTTGCAATATGCTGTTTATTTTTTCAATGTTTTTATTATGAAAATGCAATGTTGAATCATCAGCATATAAATCCATGTCGGATTGTTTAACATGAAGTGGTAAATCATTAATATAAATTAAAAATAACAGAGGACCTAAAAAAGAACCTTGAGGCACTCCATATTTTACAAACGATTTATCAGATTTAATGTTAGCGTATTGAACTTCTTGTTGTCTCTCAGACAAATATGATTTTATCCAATCTATCGAATGTTCTCCGATATGATAAAATTTTAACTTTTCTAAAAGTATGGCATGGTTAATAAGGTCAAAAGCCTTACTGAAATCTAAAAACACAGTACCAACTATTTCTCCATTGTCTAAATATTTTAACCATTCATCAATTAGTTTAGTCAGCGCTGTTTGATATGAATGACCTTGCCTGAAACCTGACTGAGCGATATGTAACAATTTTTTATTATTTAAGAATGCATATAACTGTGTACATACATGTCTCTCAAAAACTTTAGATATGGTATTTAAAATAGAAATTGGACGATAATTGGAGGGAATATCTGTTGGTCCTCCTTTATGTATAGCAGTTACTCTTGCAAGTTTAAATTTTTTCGGAAAACGATTCGACGTTATACTTTTGTTTATTAGAAAAGTTAGTGATGGCGATATTATCTCTGCACTTAGCTTTAAAAGTTTTGGACCAATTCCATCTAAACCTGCGGATTTATTAATATTAAGGTGTTTTAGTTGTGAACACACCTCTCCAACAGAAATGAGTTTTAATTTAAAAATTTCAGTTTCCTTTAATTTTGTACTAGTAAAAGTTTGTAGCTTCGAAAAATCCATATCTGAAGTATTATTTCCAATAAGTTTTTCAGCTACGGAAGAAAAATGAACATTTAGTGTATTAACAATATCTTTGGGGTTATAAACAGTTTGATTTTCATACTGCATTTTAGGTGGAAAAATATTATCCATTTTTGGATTTAACTCTTTAATGTGATTCCAAAGTTCTTTACTATTTTTGGAACTAGATATAGCGTTTTCATAATATTCCTTTTTTGCATTAAATATTAACGACGTTGTTTTATTACGCCACTTTTTAAAGTTTACCCAATCTTTTTTTGAATGATACATATTTCTGTATTGAATGGAATTTTTAATTTCTTCATTGAACCATTCGGCTTGTTTAAATGTTTTTACTCTTTTAGTTTTCATTATCATTACAAAAATCATATCATGTATAGATTTCCCAGTTTTTTTCCGATATTGGAGGACTGCAGGGGTGTTCCTATCATACTTTCTTTAGTACTCCATAGCTTACAGGGAAGCTTCTAAAACAATAATCTATATTGGTAAAGTCGAAATCATTCCTTTATTATCAAAAGACGTCATGTTTTATTTTAACGTTATTCCAAATTGTTTACAGTTGACCACGGATATGTCCCACTTGTAGGAGTCTCAATCCCGTCCTCCTCTTCTTCCTCCTCGATTACAACGTCTCTGAATTGAGATAACCATTATCGGTCGTTCCACTGTCTATATCACTCTGCTCGGCTCTTAATAAAATTGCATATCACGGCTTTGTTACGTCATAAACGTTGACCCGGCCTTAATACGACGTCTAATGTCTGAACCGACGTTAATAAGTTTGACCCGAACTTATCAAGACATCTTCTGGTTTGCTGGTGAAACAAAGAAAACACTTGTTTCTATCAGTCAAAACACGCAAATACAACCCGATAAATCGATTATCTGGTTATCTGCATATTGATATTGTAAAATATCAGCTGCTCGACTCAATATGAGGCCTTCTTTAAATAGTTAGCTGCGCTCACTCGACAAAAAGCTTCATATTGTGGCTCGCAGCTGATATTTTACGATATCAGTATGCAGGCAAACCGATAATCAACAATACACGTTCCATCACTGGAGAATAGACTGCTCACCTGAACCTGGGAACCTGAATTTACCTTTGGTTTTTGTAGGGTACGTGTTGTTCAGTTTTTAGTTTTATGTGGAGCGTATTTTTTCGGATTGTGTTTGTTTTTCTTCTACTCATTCGTTTTTTTTTTTATTGTCCATTAATGCTTGCTGATGACGCATCTCTTATCCTAGATGGTAGAGAAGATACAAGACAATTTGATTTATAAGATTGCTTTGCAAATTGTTTTCGTTTAGATTAAAATTTCTGAAACACAAGTTACTTCAGCACCTTGTACTTTGCTAAATAAGAAATCATTCAGAGGTCATACAAGGTTTCGTGTCGGTCAAGCGAGTCGTTGGTTAATACTTTCCATTAGTCTTGAGGTCAATGTTGGTCGATTTTTTTTATTTATTTTTTTTCAATTTGTTTTTTTTTTTTTGGGGGGGGGGGTCAAATACTATTTCATTTTCATTTTCATGTTTTTATTGTTTTTGAAGGAGATTTTAATTTGCTTGCGCCAATGTCTGATGGATTTGTCATTTGTCTTTTTCTTTTCTTACCTGTGTTTTCTTTTTATTTCTGAGAAGGAGGTTTACTTTTTTTTGTTTTATTGTTGTTCTATTTTATCATTCTTTGGTTTTGTGGTAGTCATGGTGTACTTTCTTTAAAACTATCTATAAATAATCATATAAATCATCATTTTTATGAAATGCATCTGTCAGTTACTGTGTCTATTGCATAATTCTACAATATAGATGACTTATATCTTTGATGGATCATTTATTATATTTTTTAATATTGAGAATAGATATATAAATATTTTACATGTTTAATTATTTATCTAAAATGTTTTTACTTCAGCTTGTATTGACGGCGTTACTTGTTGTTCAGGGTAAGCATTTAATTGATTTTTTAATACCAATATATAATTTGAAAGATAAAACTTGTGACACTGTTATCCAACAATAATCATGTTTATTTAACGGTGTTTTTGCTACTTTTTGCCTAGTGCTACTTTCAAATAATGCATACAGGAATATCATATAACCACTAATTTTAACTTACGCAGTAGAAGTGCGCACTTCTTAAGTCTAACATTAATCATGATTTACATTTTGATGTTGTCTCGGTTAACCATATTATCCACCCATTACTTTGTATCAATACATGGGCATTGGACACATTTCGGCAGATTATACAGATGTAAAATAACGGTTTATGACGTTGTTTGTCGGATGACGAACGAAGCTTAGAACCAGTGGATGACAGGAGCCAGTATAAGTGATTTTACAAAGTAATATATATAACGAATAACTATTGGTATGGTTTCATTTGTCGAATATAAAAAAAAGAAGATGTGGTTTAATTGCCACCGAGACAACTCTACACAAAAGACCAAATGACACAGAAATTAACAACTATGGGTCACCGTTTGACCTTCAACAATGAGCAAAACCCATACCGCATAGTCAGCTATAATTAAAAGGTCCCCAAATGACAAATGTAAAACAATTCAAACGAGAAAACTAACGGCCTAATTCATGTACAAAATAATGAACGAAAAACAAATATGATACACAGAAACAAACGACAACCACTGAATTACAGGCTCCTGACTTTGAACAGGCACATACAGAATGTGGCGGGGTTAAACATGTTAGCTAGCGCCAAACCCATCCCCCTAACATGGGACAGTGGTGTAACAGTACAACATAAGAACAAACTATAAAAATCAGTTGAAAAGGGCTTAACTCATCAGATGGATACAAACAGAAATACATATAACAAAAACACAGAGTGGTAGTGGCAGGGAACGTATACATTCCCACAACAAAAAGACACTAAGTACAGATCTGAGGGTAGTCCTTTGTCGTTCATTACTTGTCAGTTAATCCTATATATCACATGATTTTAAAAGCAAAACAGCCGGTGCTGCTAACAAAACAGTAACTCGTTCATTACTTGACACTTAATCCTGTGCATCACTGGATTTTAGAAGCAAAAATGTCATTGCTTCTAACAAAACAGTTACTCGTTAATTACTTGTCACTTAATCCTATGTATCACTGGATTTTAAAAGCAACACAGCTGGTGTTGCTAACGAAATAGTATGACTGGATTTTAGAAACAGCACAGCCGGTGCTGCTAACAAAACAGTATGACTGGATTTTAGAAACAACACAGCCGGAGCTGCTAACGAAACAGTATGACTAGTTTTAAGAAGCAACACAACCGGTGCTGCTGACAAAACAGTATCACTGGATTTTAGAAGCAACACAGCCGGTGCTGCTGACAAAACAGTAACAGACTGAAAAGATTGATCATGGGATTTGTGTGGCTTAATCTAAAGTTTTTCTTGAGGTAGACCTACGTTATCTACATGTCCGAGCTATTGTTGTTTAATAACCCCTCCATCACGCGTCTTTTCGTCATCGCCCGTTTCTTTTGTAACAACCACTTTAATACTATTCTCTGTAACCACTTAAACTTTGTCGGCACACATAGTCACCGATCTTTCTGAAAATTGGCTGTAATGTATATCCTATTAGCCTAGTCAGAAAAATAATGCCATCTGATATATATATTGGTTGGTTACCATGGTAACAGCGGAGAAAGTTGGGAATTTTGAGAAAAATACAATATTTGGTGTAGTGTTGTGAAATTATGCGGCTACATATATTAAAAAGAAACACAAAACAATTAATTTCAGCCTTGTTTTCATCAATAATCAAAAAAAGTTATGAGGAATCTACTTAGAAACATCTGAAATTAATTTCCAAAAAATGGTCATTGTGCAATATTCCTCACAATACGAATTGTCTCCCTTTGACGGGTTTCACTAATGACTGGACCAAAACGAAAATGCTAATAACTTTTTTATTTCTTAAAAATTTTGTCAAATTTGAATTGCTATAAATTTAGTCCATTTAATACATAAATATAAGAAAAAATATAGAAAACTTTTAAATCTTCATAAAATGTGACCTGACCAACGCTGACAATGACAGGACCAAATGAAAATGCTCATTATTTTTTTTATTTCTTAAAGGATTTATGTTTAATTTGAAATATAATAAAATTTGATCATTTAATATATAACTATATGAAAAAATATAGACACAAATATTAAAAAATTCCGAAAAATTCCGAAAACGTGACCCTTCTAACGTTGACAATGACCTGACCAACAACAGCAATGACCTAACCGATGAAAATTACTGTGTTATTTTATATCATTAAAAAAAGGGGGAAAATATATGTTTTTGGGTAAAAAAAACTTGACCTGACCAACGTTGACTGTGTCCTGATCGTTGTACTACCTAATACCTATTTATATCTTATAGGATTTGCTTAAAATTTATATAAAAAAAAAACATTAAGATTGAATGGTAAAGTCTTTATCAAATAATAATAAAAACTGGGAAAAACAGTTTAGGGTACTGTGACGGGCACCAGGTTATTTAAACTTTTTATGGTATTGAGTAGTATATTGTATTTTACTGTGTTGTAAATCATGTTGTATATTACCGGTTATAATTTGACACGTTTGATCACAAATACAAAGTAACACACAAAAGGTGTGAAGTAGGCCAAAAATACATGTAAGTTGATAAATCCAATATAATTGTTTTTTAATATTTTCATAACAGTAAATAATTATTTCCACGTACAACTTAAGGCATGCCCGAGCCTTGTGTAGGATATCTAGGTAGTTTTAAATATTTTCATAAAAAAAATAAACATTTCGCGGACTATTTGAGGTATGCCCGAGCCCCTGCATGTACGATATCTTGGTAGTTTAAAATATTTTAATAAAATATAAGTAAACATATTCAACGACTTAACTTGAGGTATGCCAAATGTTCCCGAAAGTCAATACATTTATCGTTTGCTAATATTTTTGAAAAGCATTTTATATTTTCTTATTTGATAAAATTAATGGTTCAATCTAAGTGTTTCTATAAATTTGATGCAAAGCCTATTACATATAAATAGGTATAAAGTCATTTTTCCTTGTCATGATAACGGTCAAAATATAGGACAGAAAGTCACAGACAAAAAGTCAAGGACAAAAAGTCACATGTATTATATGTTATAAACATTGAGTCCTGTTTCAAAGTTAAATCTATTTTTGTTTTTGTTAAAAGAAAGACAATATACTAATTTTGAGAAACATCTTTCTGTTATGGGCTTTCAGCATGTTCAGTGAAAATCAAATTATAATTTATGTACATGTAATATATAATTCTCTTAAAGTTACCGTTTCACGGTAAAGAGTTAGCATAATTTATGGTCAATATTTTTTAATTTGCTGCTAAAAATCCATAAACTTAAGATAATTGTTATTTTCTCAAATTTCAATAATCCAATGCCTAATACTAATGTTAAGATAGTGCTACCACAGGCGGATCCAGGGGCCCTGAGGGCCCGTCCCCTCCTTATTTATTGGAAATATTTGGTTGATTACATATGGAATCACTGAAGCATAAATGTAGCGGGCCATCACTTTAGGCAGTCAATTGGACCCGTTATATGAAAATTGTCCATATGGTATATTTTCCCCCACTGCTCGTTTTAAGACCCGCAGCCACCATCTGACAGATTTTCCGTCGGTCCTCGTAGGGAAACGAATATTTTTGGAAAATCTCAAAAATTCCTCCCCGGCCAGATCGGCAAACAAGAAATGTGTCGGATGGATAGCAGGGACCATCGGGTCAACGGCCGACAGTACCCGCCCTTGTTGGTTACGCCCCTTTGTTTGCTAAAGAACCCTTGTGTTAATTCTTTTAGGGGCACCCAAGTTGACCTATTGAAATTTCTGTCCTTGTCCAATTGATCCCGATTTCCAGTGATATTTCAAATTGTCCGCCTTCATCCCAGCCTACCCATATTGCCGGACCTTTATGAAATTGTCTATTTTTTTCACCTTCACCTCAAAAAATGATCTTCATGTAGATACTCATCATCCAATAATACAATAATATTCAAAACGTATAGATATACATGCTTTGCCATTTCAACATTGAGTTTAATAATGAATAAACAGCTCATAATATAGGTATTTTTTCCTTTATAGAAAGAAAGGTTAGATGGTCAATTATCATTTACTTAAAGTAGAGGACCAACGTCTGACTCTTTTTGTTCTATTTTTTATTGTGTTGAAGTGTATCAAATTATTGCCTTTAATTAATTTCGGGTCAGTAGACTAGCACTGGACCAACAATGTTCCTATTAAATTTATTGATTTTGTTCTCTTATGAAATATGCATGAGATATTTGACACTGGACACAAAGCAAACCATAACTAATCGATCATTTCATTTTTACAAAATCTTACCCTCCCCCCCCCCCCCCCCCCCCCCCCTTGGCCTTTCTTGAACTGTCAATATTCTGATTGTATCTTCTTAATATTATGTATAAATAGTTAGGAGCTAGTAGCTAAAATTCCAAACTGTCAACACCAAGTGGCACTTTGATCTTTAATCTTCACTACAGCATTTGAATACTAGTTGACAAGACTGACTTGTAAAAGCCATCATTCTTTGACACTGCATTAAATTGAAAACTTACAGAAGAGAGTTTTTGTATGAGAGATTGAGTCTATTTTCAAGCGTTTTCCAAGTTTATGCATATACATGTAATCTTTAATCTTCACTACAGCATTTGAATACTAGTTGACAAGACTGACTTGTAAAAGCCATCATTCTTTGACACTGCATTAAATTGAAAACTTACAGAGGAGAGTTTTTGTATGAGAGATTGAGTCTATTTTCAAGTGTTTTCCAAGTTTATGCATATACGTGTAATTTGTTGTTTCCATGGCAACACTATCACTAATAATGACTGGAATATTATTAATATTTCTCAAATACAAGAAAACCTGCTTATGTAAGCAAAACTGTATACATTCATTGTTATATGTATCGAAGTTCATTAAAACGCATTTGTAAAAATTAGTACTTATCCGTATTTTTGCAAATGAACTACTTGTTTCCATGGCAACACATTCAATGGCAGATATTGTACAATTGAATATGTAATTTTTTACATGATTTTATTTGTTTTTTTCTAGATTGAGTAATTGTTTTTCTTGTATATTTTTCATGATCATGAAAACAGACTGAAATTTCTTTATAATCAGCACTTTTACCAGAATAGAGAAATTGTGTTTGTTTCCTTCAAGTGGTAACACCATTATCGAAATACTATACTAGCAAAATCAGTTATATATACACATGTGTGTATACAGTGAAACTTAATAAGTGTTTTAGTTTTCCTACTTTTGTGCACATTTAAGAAACTAACTGAAACTTTTTTCAAAATTGTTTTAAACTTGTGTATCAAAATGAAATTGTTTCCATAGCAACACAGTTTAAACTATAATACCGTTATATTTGATATGTTTAAAATTTTGATGATTACAATAATTTCTACATATTGTATATTTGTTTATTTTTTTCTGACTGCAGAATTAAGTTTTAAAACATTTTTTTTCAAAATTTTCAAAAAATATTTTTTTCTGAAAAAATGAAAACTAAGCATTTTGTATCCATGGTAACAAAATATTGAGACATACTTCCCCATTACTTTTTCGCATCATTGATAAGATAAGACTATGATATTTATGAATTCATGGTTGACTTCAACTCAGGTGTCCGCAAACAATTATGGTGAGCATTCAAAAATGACCTCAAAAGGGTATTTTTTACCTAATGCAAACCACATAAAAAGGGGGGTAAATGTGATTATGATTGAAATGGAATATGAAAATATCAGTTATTAAATTACATCAATAAAATGCATATATTTAATAAAATCATAAAGCAATATTCATTCTCTTAATTATTTATTATGAAAAATTATGTTGAAAATAGCCTTTTTCAGCTTAAAATCATAGATATTCAGAAGAGGTAAAACTGGTCATTGGTTGCTATGGCAACCGATATGCTTAGCAACCAAAATTTTGCCATTTTTTGTTTGTTTCATCAAGACTAGTAAGTGTGTGAAGTTTGAAGAAAATCCATGACCATGCGTGCCACACTCCCTATATAAGAGTTTAAATTGTTACAGAGAACCAGTATTAAAAACAAAGAACAACGTCACCGAACTGTTTCGATATTTAGTTTTTTAGGTAAAAAGTATTTTTATTGCAAGTTGCGTGTTTTAAATTACCACTGAAGTACTAGAGTTTATTTAGAGTTACTATTCTTTGCACAGGAAATGCCGTGTGCAGTTTTCCATGTGAACAGCAGGAAAGAGGACAGTACATGTTTATCGTTGGTGGTTCCTCCAGTTTGACAGCGAATGAATACTTCCGCAATCAATCTCACTTAGTGCGTCTTTTGCCATCTGGGGAATTTGCTGAATGTTATGTCAGATCGGGACCATTTCTTATTGCTCGGTATGTAAGCAGTTGTAAATTAAGCCTTTTCTAGAACCACTTTTAACACTTCAAAAGTTGTCAAGAGTCACGAAGTTGGCAGTTGTTGGGCCAAACATATTGAATGTAGTCAAAATTGGCTTAATTGAGAAAAATAAGGGGAAAATGCTAAACGAAAACAACAGAATATCAGACAATTGTAATAGCTTAAGATTAAAAACAAAGAGCTCTGATGAACTAGAGGCTCTAAAGAGCCTATAATATACTGTCGCTCACCTGCATCTTCAACAATAGCCTCTTTTTTTTTTTTTTTTTTTTATAAAAGTCATCATTAAAGGGGAAGAACAGTATTAAGAATATCAGATATGTTGACATATTTGTAGATCTTTACCTGCTTATAACTTTTCTTTTTTAAAGTTTCTATTTATCTATCATAGTTTTGAAGATAATAGGCAAAAAAACACAAAAACAAATGGTAAAAAATATAACTAAAGGGCAATAACTCAATAAGAGTCGACTGAAGATTTCGACCATGAGGCTTATTTGTAGATCTTCTCGTGCTGATTATTTGTAGATCTTGTCTTGCTGATAATTTTTGCTTTTTAAAGTTTCTATAATCTTTTATAGTTTTCAAGATAATAAGCAGACAATGAAAAATTGGGGAAAAATCGTCACAAATAAGCAATAATATAATGAACTTATATTTTAGACGACGTGGCAATGAATTCACATGTGTCAAACGAATGGCTGTGGATCCAACTGGGGGAATTGTAGTATGGTATGGGCTACCATTCAGTAAGTTATGACCTGAGTGTTTCATTCAACAATATTTACAGTAGGCTTTGAATCAACAATAAGTCAAATGATCAAATAAAAAGGCCGGACTGCCAATACAAATGAATAAAAGTATATATGGGGTATGCTTCAATTAGATTCAAACACCAAAACACGTCTAGAAGCCAATATGTGGTATTTATCAATAGACAGGTGTATATACAATACGTCAAGTATTAATTCGTTCAGAGTATTAAAAGAGTTTATAATGAATTCTAATAGCTGTAGAAATAAGAAGATGTGGTATGAGTGCCAATGAGACAACTCTCCATCCAAGTCACAATGTGTAAAAAGTAAACAATTATAGTTCAAAGTACGGTCTTCAACACGGAGCCTTGGCTCACATCGAACAGTAAGCTATAAAGGGGTCCAAAAATGACTAGTGTAAAACAATTCAAACAGGAAAACCAACGGTCTAATCTATATAAAAAACGAGAAACACTTAAGAACCACATCAACATACGACAACCACTGAAACAGGTTCCTGACTTAGGACAGGTGCAAACAAATGCAGCGGGTTCAAACTTTTTTAACAGGTGCCAACCTTCACCCTAACTTGAAATAGTAGCATGTTATACATGGCATACAGATATTTAGGATTTTTATAAGATAAAAGTTAATATACTAATTTCTACCTTCAGTCTTTAATCACTTTTCTTAAGATCGTGCTGGTAGAACGTTAGGAAATAGTTCACTTAATTGAAAGTTTGCTCGTAGAAGAGAAGTAGGAATAAAATTGAGAATGGAAATGGGGAATGTGTCAAAGAGACAACAACCCGACCATAGAGCAGACAACAGCCGAAGGCCACCAATGGGTCTTCAATGCAGCGAGAAACTCCCGCACCCGGAGGAGTCCTTCAGCTGGCCCCTAAATAAATATCTATACTAGTTCAGTGAAAATGGACGTCATACTAAACTCCAAATTATACACAAGAAACTAAAATTAAAAATGATACAAGACTAACAAAGGCCAGAGGCTCCTGACTTGGGACAGGCGCAAAAATGCGGCGGGGTTAAACATGTTTTTTGAGATCTCAACCCTCCCCCTATACCTCTAGCCAATGTAGAAAAAACAAACGTACAACAGTACGCACAGTAAGCACAGTAAAACTTAGTTTAAGAGAAGTCCGACTCCGATGTCAGAACAATGAAATAATGAAACAAAGCCGAGATGAATCTGAAAGAATGGAATGCATATTCATAATTATCTTGAGTACCTCACGATTTTTTGTTGCATTTTATGAGGTCAACTATTTCAATTGAACTTTCAATAGATTTTTTTTCAATTAACATTAGTGATAGATTTGCGTTCACAAACCATATTTAAAAGATCCTTTGACACTAGTACGCTTCCTTAAACCTAATTATTTGAAAAAAAAATATATATATGTATACAAAGTAAAAAAGAAGAAATCAGGGGTGCATTTTATCAGGCCAGTTGATATAACTTGATTATTCAAATGTTTTTTATTTAAAGCTAGTCCGTTTGTAACAATGGAATTTATCTTCTTGCAGGAAGATTTAGATCGAATCCATCGGTGTGTGAAATTTGCTATGGGACAAATGAATGGAGCGCTACTCTTCTGTTGGGTAATCATTAAGTTGGCATATAAAACATTAAATAATAGCCCTATATTAACATTTAAATACTGTGAAATGTTGCCAATATGTCGGTTGCCATGTAAAAAAAACTTTAAGCTAAACGAGTGCGAGAGTCGGAAATCTGAGAAACCGGATATTGCTGGGGTGATAGAAAAGCTTACACAAGGATGTTTGTAATTTCCAAGTCTTACGTTCTTACATATGTTAGATTGTTTTTTTCTTACATTTTTCGCGTCAAAAAATATAAAGTTTTCATAAATTGCGACTGTGGTGTAAATGCTGCCTCACTCAGAAAGATGGTTCAGACAAGAATATCCGGCCATAACAACCAATCCATAAATGACTAATGCTGTTATAAAACAATGATGATTGTTAGCACTAAAGCTACCAATGATTTATTCAATATGACATTATAAAAAAGAGGCGAAAGATACCAAAGGGAGACTCAAACGCATAAGTCGAAAATAGACTGACAACGCCATGGCTAAAAAAGAAAAAGACCAACAGACAAACAATAGTATACAAAACACAACATAGAAAACTAATGACTGAGCAACACGAACCCCATTGGGTGATCTCAGGTGCTCCTGAAGGGTAATCATAATCCTGCTCCACATGTGGCACCCGTCGTGTTGCTCATGTTAGTACAAACCCGATAACAAGTCCAATTCGGTAGGTCACATTCTGGAAAAGGGGACGGGACGGGAATTATAATTGATTCAATGTGTCATAACCTGTTGCTTTATAATTTTTTTATATCTATTAACATATTCTTCTATCGTCAAATTCAAAAATAATACTAAATTAAGTTTTTTTAATGACGCATTAGGGCAATATTCGAGGGCGAATGTACTCCACTAGTTATACAAAGTCAACTTATCGTTTCAAAATGAAGGGCAGATACTATGGTTGCAACCAAAGGTCGAAGAAAACCAGCAAATACCACGAACAAAAAGAATTTCGACGAAAAAGCAAACAACTTTCCACAAAACACTACATGTATATAGAAACCAAACATAGCAGCTCGAACCCCATCAGAACCGGGTGAAAACTCTGGAGCTCCAGACGGGTAATGACTTCCTGCTTCACTAGTGGCACCTCTCGTATTTCTCGTGGCAAGTAAAATTTCGGTGATAAGCCGAATAAGGTAATGCCGAAATGGATTGTAAGAGGTAGGGATTGTACGACAAAGGAAAATATCCACAGTCATCATAGGCAAAGAGTTGCATGCAAACAGTTATAGAGATATTGAATTTGCAAATTACGTTTTTTAAATGTGTGGGTTTGTTTTTTTCAGCAAACGATTTGAGACGTGAGTATCACAGTTAATTTACTATTTTGAAAAGTAAATTAAGCATGGTTTCATTTCTTTTATATTGCTAAACATAAGAAAATAGGAGATTTATATAAGACTGAAATACCGGTATGAAGAAATCCGTGTTTTAAAAATCTAAGTAGAAATAAACTAATAATCTATGTGAAAAAGGTAGTGTTTTTCAGTGTTCAATGAATAATTCACGACTTACTACCACAAGATGAATACCTGTTGTCAGGGGTTTTCAAACCCTTAAATTTATGAATATAAGGGAACTACATGATCAAAACATTTTAAATAATTTGATAATATTAACGGTGACAATTTTACTGCAGAAGAGAGACGAAAAAACAAAAACCACCAAAAGACAAACAACGGTCTACAATACACTACATAGAAAACTAAAGACTGAGCAACACGAGCCCCACAAAAAACCAGGGGTGATCATATGCTCCGGACGGGTAAGAATGACCTGCACCACACAATGCACATTCCGAAAATGTCTCGGGAGACCAAAATATTTGATGATCCAAAACCTAGTACAAACGTTGAAGAGTTGATATTATCAACAAGACCTAAATTATAGGCAAATCCGGACAATGAATCAGAGCTATGCATGAGAGAGACATATTTCTTAATTTAAAGGGAATTTCCAAAGCTTTGTAACCGCAAATTTCAATTTAACAATTTCCGTTTTGTCATGTCAGTACCGTACTGATACACTCTTGGTCTTACATCTCAAAAGCAAAGGTATCGACCAATTGGTAGTATTTAATAACATTAAGTGTACCAATTTTACTGCACCGGATACTACATAACACGTATTCAAATTTGGAGTTGCATCTTAATAAAAATGTACTTAATTTGTCAGCTTAGAAGTAGGAAAAGATAGATGTGTTCATGCATTCTACTGTAATTTTGTCTGAAAAAAGAAAGAGAAGATACTAAGGCGACAATCAAAAATTAAAAATCCATTAAAATAAGACGACACCAACAAGAAAAACTTCGAAATTACAAACATCAAAACCCTACATTGAAAACTAAAGATTGATCAACAGGAACCCTCCTAAAAACCAGGGGCAATCAATATGTTGAAGAGTAGGCATTTTCATTTCGTCTAGTGGTTAAAATACGTTCATGAGTCGCTTGTAAAGTCAAGAAGATTCAATGTGACTGACAGAAGATAAGAGCTAACCATGGTAGAGACAACCCTGCTATTTTTTCACGGGAAAAATTTTTCATTTTGTGTTTTAAAAATGCTTGAAAAAGTTTGAATTAATTACTTATAATGTATTTCTTTATTTCAGATAAGAGGAACCAGATAAGAAGATCTGGTAAGTGCAATATAAAGTAGTAAAACCACAACTGTAACAATTAAAAAATGTGCCCTGGTTATGTTAAAGCAAAACAAACTGAATATTGTAGGGAAAAAGTGTTGTCCAGAACATTGATTAGTCATTATCATTATGTAATTATGTGAAATTTAAATCGTTTGATAGTTACACCATTGCAACAATTTTGTGGTGAACACTGTTTTATTTTTGATAATGTTCTCTCTTGTGTCTTCTTCAAGGATTTCCAATAAGAATAATCTGTACTTATTTCAATATTCTACCAATTTTGTATTTGAATTTCCGTTGAGGATCATAGAGTGTTCTCTTTCAGTCGCGTAGAAATTCAGGTCATGTAAATTCCTGTACTCAAGTTATAAAAGTATTCTTTCAGAGCAATCAGTGCGACAATAAGCCAAATTGTGGATTCAATACTAAGTTCTTTTTTCAAGATAAAAATGTATCAAATTGATGCATACACATTTTTGAAAATGAAACAAAAAGAGTACATAGAATTTATAGTTTTTGTGTGTAAAGCACATAAACTGCTTGATAATTGAATTGGGTATTGACAATTCACTTGGAAACTTAACTTCTACCCCCACGACACTAACCAATAAGGAAATCCTGGATACCCATAGGTCTGTTCTATGTTCCTTTGGAATTTCAACCAGAGATGAAGAACTGGATCTTCCATCACTGTATTGGATACCTTAACAACACAAGTGTCCTTACAAACAACGTTATATTGCTTGGTCTTCCAAGTGCTTCACGAAACCTCTCTCTAGATTATTAACATTAATTTTACCAGCAAAGTCGGGATTCAATGCTATTGTGAAACTACATATTCTAGAGGTGGCGTGAATCAGATGTGGATACTAAAAAACTCCAAAGATCTTTTAGAGTACATACAATGTAAGACTCTTTTATCTTGCATAGTATTAAAATATTTGACTTTTCTATACTTTATACAAGTATTTCCCATTCCAAACTAAAAGACAAATTGAAAGAGTTGGTTCTGCTTTGTTTCATAAAAAAGAATGGTCAACGTAGATACAAGTGTCTTGTCTTAGGGATGGAAAAATCGTATTCGTAAAAAATCACACTGATTCAAACAAAAAAATCTCTGAAACTGACATTATCAAGATGCTTGATTTCTTGATTGACAACATATTTGTTAAGTTTATTTTTCAACAAACAATCGGTATTCCCATGGGAACCAACTGTGCTCATCTTCTTGCCGACTTGTTCCTTTATTCATATAAGGCTAACCTCATACAAGAACTTCTTAGAAATACTTTAGCAGTATCCTTTAACTTTACTTTCCGCTATATTGATGATGTTCTTTCACTAAATTATTCAAACTTTGGTGACTATGTTGAACGCATCTATCCCATCGAACTTGAGATAAAGGATACAACAGACACAGTTAAGTCAGCCTCATATCTTGACTTATATCTAGAAATTGACAATGAGGGTCGTTTGAAAACAAAACTTTACGACAAAAGAGATGATTTCAGCTTTCCAATTGTGAACTTTCCATTTTTATGTAGCAACATTCCAGCAGCGCATTCATACGGAGTATATATCTCCTAGTTGATACGATATTCCAGGGCTTGTATTTCCTATCCTGATTTCCTTGATAGAGGGTTGCTGCTTACATGGAAGTTATTAAACCAAGAGTTCCAAGTGGTGAAGTTGAAATCATCACTTCGTAAATTTTACGGACGCCATCACGAGTTGGTTGACCGTTATGGAATATCCGTTTCACAGATGACAGTGGATATGTTCCAATTGTCGTAACTAGTATCCCGTCCCATTTTTCCCGAATATGACTTACCGAATTATACTTATTACCGGGTTTGTACTAATATGAGCAACACGAGGGGTGCCACATGTGGAGCAGGATCTGCTTACCCTTCCGGAGCACATGAGATCACCCCCAGTTTTTTGTTGGGTTCGTGTTGCTCAGTCTTTAGTTTTTCTATGTTATGTTTTGTGTACTGTTGTTTGTCTATTTGTCTTTTTCTTTTTTAGCCATGGCATTTTTAGTTTATTTTCTACTTATGAGTTTGAATGTCCCTTTGATATCTTTCGCCTCTTTTTGTCGTTTCAGAGCCCTTTTATAACTTGATATGCGGTAGGGTTTTTTCTCATTGTTGAAGGCATACGGTGACCTACAGTTGCTAGCTTCTTCTCCATTTGGTCTCTGGTGAAGAGTTTATCTCATTAGCAATCATATCACATATTTTCGTTTTTTAGTGTTGAACTTTCTTTCAAATGTTAGGAAATCCTCAGTGATATGACTTTGAATTTTTAATAAACGAATTTTTTATAGTGTCCAACCGGAAAGGAATATACTATCTGTTAAAAAAAATAATTTAAATCTGATTTAAACTATGTCTTTTTTCTTAACATATTCATCTTTTTTTTCAGTAAAAATACCACGTAAGTATTGACTATAGTATACATATCGATTTATTGCAATGTATAATATCATTTGATATTCTCTTACGATTTAAAAGCCTAGCAATTTGCCGATTCAGAATCTAATGCATTATGGGTATTTTCTGCAAATAGCGTACACAAAACGTTGCAATTGGCTAACAACGTTCTAAACAATTGAAAGTTAACCAATGATGTGACGTTATGTTTATTTTGGTGTACAAACATCGAAATTATCTACATTTCATTAGATTCGGAAACAGCGATTAATTTATACTTCAAAACATGTTCGAATTCAACGATATAAAAGTCTGCTTCCAAAAGAATAATTTGCCTTATTCATTAATATGCAGGTGGTCAATCATTTGCAATTTTTTTTTAGATAATCAAAGATATGCTTGGGCTGAATTTCTACAAATATTAATTAAAGCACTTTAAACAATGCAAACATGATTTTTAAAACGTCCACTTCTAAAGTTCAGATTTTGTTACATTTATAGCGTTCTAATAAATGACTGAAGTCATCAACACTTCATAAAATATTCTATTGCTTTAAAGAATTCGCTGGTGATTCATGTTTCCTTGGTATCAGATTCGTAAGAACTATATTGTCTTTTTGCGTATATTAGAACTTTGTTAGATATTTCTGACATTGACACTCACTGCTGGACCTAAGTGTGAAACCGTATGTCAAGTAATGTATATATATGAAGAGATTCTAATCCTGTCGACACACTGGTTTCACTCAGATTCAAGTACAATTCATTTTCTATGCGACTGTCATACAAGTGAGAGGTCTAACTAGCTATAAAACCAGGTTTAATACACCATTTTCTACATTAGGAAATGCCTGTACCAAGTCAGGAATATGACAGTTGTTTTCCATTCGTTTGATGTGTTTGAGCTTTTGATTTTGCCATTTTATAAAGAACTTTCCGTTTTGAAATTCCCTTGGAGTTCGGTATTTTTGTTGTTCTACTTTTTTCATAATTTCGTTTAAAATAATTTAACATATACTTACGTTGAGTTTTTTAACTGATCTATCTGTATATCTACTCATTTATCTATATTTAGCAATGGGATGCAATGTGCCAAAGAACTGCCCTATTCGTAACCCGAGATTAGATATTCCTTGTACTGGATGTGAACGAGTTGAAGATGATGGCCTTTGTTGTGCTAGAGACAGAAGACGTCGTCGTTATTATTAATGTTTTATTCGCATTTAATGGGACGCTACGCGAAAAATGGGCTACTTTGATTAAACTTTATTAATTTTTTCTGGTGGTTTTTTTTTAACAATTGGAGGATACTGTATTCGTCATTATTTTATACACGCATTTGCCATTACCCATGTAATGCAAATTATTGTTTCGGTTTTGCAATAACATAAAACAGCCCTATGTAATGCAATTAAGTGAACAAACACATTATTTTGTACAAACTCTTGCAATCCATGTACGCTTCAAACAAAATGCAAATAAAAGAGACTAAAAATGAAATCCAAATATGCCTTCAGGCAAGGGAAAATTCCAAATTTTATTTAGTGCGTGAGTATTCATTTCAATTATTATGTTTGGAAGGAAGCGTCTGGGGTTGATATTTTCTATAGAAATGTTTGCAATTACAATTGACAATTACAATTACAATTGTAATTACCGTTATAAGTTTTCAATATTACAACCTTTTGTAATGGCTGACATTCCAATGTTATTTTGGAGATGACATGACCGGTTTGAAATAACATGAGCAACACGACGGGTGCCACATGTGGAGCAAGATCTGCTTACCCTTCCGGACAACCTGAGATCACCCTCAGTTTTTGGTGGGGGTTCGTGTTGCTCAGTCTTAAGTATTCTATGTTTTGTTTAGCGACTATTGTTTGTCTGTTTGTCTTTTTTTTAGCCATGGCGTTGTCAGTTTATTTTCGACTTATGAATTTAAATGTCCCTTTGGTATCTTTCGCCTCTCTTTCGGTGTTGCTGTCATGACACAATTTGTTGTAGTTATTTCATAACAGCTCTGACTGTTGTTCACACGCAGCCTTGTGTGCAGTACAGACATCACATCAGTCTATGTTAGATTGATATGACAGCAGTTAGTTCGGAGATCATATTTAGAATGTCAAATGGTTGTTTGAGTCCTAAGGGCAAATTTTTATCCCAACATGACACAAAACCGAATTTAAACCATATATACCAAATCCGTGTTCACCTGTCACATGTGTTAGGAGTGATCTTGCAATGATTCTAAGTCATTTTTCGATAACAATTTAGAGGTAAGTATCGGATATTTGTCATTTTTTTGACAATTCGTGGACTTGAGGTCATCTGATTTAGTGATTGTTATACACAAAAAGGACAATAGGAATGACAAAAATATTGGACAATACAACAGACAACACCAACAAACGACATTGTATAAATTAGATAAATTTCCAGGCTTAGACATCTTTCGGAAACGTTTTACAGGAGATTGTGGAGCACATGAAAAATTTGCAACCAAAGCTTCAATGTTTGTTCTAAAAAAGGATTTTTGTCCAAAGAAATAAAAATTTCTCATTATTAAAAAAAAATAAAAAAATATGGAACTATAGACCTATTGCATTATTTAATATTGACATTAAAAATTATCATATACACATTAGCGCAAAGACTGAAACCTCTCATGTCAAAATTTATACTGGGGGCTAAAAATTGGTATGTAAAAAACCGATATAAAGGATTCAGGATACGTCAGATACAAGACATTATTGATCATGTAGATAAAATTCCAATAGATGGGATGAAAGCTTTTGAAACTGTTGTATTAAACTTGGTGTATTAATCATTAGAACAATTTTGGAATTAAAGAGGAGCACAGTTGGTTCCCATAGGAATGTGGATTGTTCAGAAACATGTCCCCCAAACGTACCAAAATGTTGTAAATCAATAAGTCGAGCATCTTGTCAATGGCATATTCTGAAGAAAAATGTTTTTGAATACAGAGTGTTATTTACAAAGTACGATTTATCTCTCCCTAAAACAAAACTTTTGTATCTATGTTGGCCGTTCTTTTTTTTTTTATGAAAACAAGCAGGACCAATCCTTTCAATTTGTCTTTTAGTTTGGAATAGGTAATACTTGTACTGATATTTTTGTAAATATGATATCATATTTCCTGACTATCCAACTTCTTTTCAGGTAGTAAGTATGAGATACAGGGTCTTGTATCATCTAGGTTAGGTTTTGAGGATAATAATACTTTTAAAATTTGCTCAGTCTTTAGTTGTATATGTTGTGTTTTGTATACTGTTGTTTGTATTTCGGTCTTTAATTTTTTTACCATGGCGTTGTCAGTTTATTTTCAACTTATGAGTTTGAATGCCCCTTTGGTATCTATTATACCGTTTACAGTGTCATGTTCAAATAACGATTGTTATCATTATTATTATGGCTTTGTGGGTTTTCATTCAAATATGTGCTATATAAAGAATGCTGCAAACGCACATTAGTTTTGAAAAACTAAAACTACTTTTAAAAAAAATAAAAGTTATGACAAAGAAACACAAATTTGACTTGTTAAACTGATATAAGTATGTTTATCATGTCGCACATCATGTCTAGTTTGTTAAGTATGCAGATGTTTGATTTGAAATGATTGAAACAAATTTTTTGAAACGTATATAATGATAAAGTGTGTTCTCCGTCGCTTCTCTTTTAAACGAATTGAATTGGAGCCTAGCACAATTTTAGAGTCAATCCATTCGCAATTGATTTTTTTTACAATTTGGTCTTATGTTGGGTTGTTACACCAATATCCCAAGTAAGAGAAGGATTAGGAGCTCACGAGTATGTTTAACCACACAACATTCTTTATGTGCTTTCTCAAGACAAGAACCTGTGATTCAGTAGTTGTCGTTAATTACTGTCTGCAATACGGTAACAATTAGTTGTTCATATCATCGTCATTTGGCCACTGGTGGAAAGTTTTCTCATATTTTACCACATCTGCTTATTGTTATAAAAACTAAGTTCTTTTCCTTTTACAAAATCTGTTATTCATTAGTATGGAAAAAAATGTGTATGATAATGAATCTTATGTATATATTTTTTTAAAGTACTCTTTTGTGAATGTGTCATCTAAGACTATATACATATCAATAGAACAAAATTTTCCGTAGTTATGAATATTTCAGGACACACTTTATCATTATTTACGTTTTGAATCATTTGTTTCAATCATTTTCAATCATACTTCTACTTACTTAACGAAGTAGACATTATGTTCGACATGATACAAATATTTTTATCCATTTAATTAGTGCAATTTGTGATTCTTTGTCATAAATTTTATTTTTTTAATTGTAGTTTTAGTTTTTCAAAATGATATGCATTTGCAGCGTTCATTATATACCACATATTTGAACGAAAACCCACAAAGCCATCATGATAATAATAATAATCATTATTTGTATCTGACACTGCAAAAGATAAAATTCCAAACACTTTCAAGAAAGGGGCGAAAGATACAAAAGGAATATTCAAACACATAAGTCGAAAACAAACTGACAATGCCATTGCAAAAATACAAAACAAAAAGATCAAAAAGACAAAGAACAGTATACAAAACAATATATAGAAAACTGAAGACTGAGCAACACGAATCCCACTTAAACCGAGATGATCGTAGGTGCTCCGGAAGGATAAGCATATATTTACAACATTGTGTTTGATAGTTTAATATTTCAAAGAACATAAAGCTGATCTTACCATGCATGCATTTTCTTTTCATATATGTTTCATTTTAATTCAAACAAACAATTTTTTGTAATTGATAGTACGTTCGTTCTTTCTTTACATTTCACAGTAATTGTTTATACCATGACAAAACGAGCAACCTTTATAATAAAAATGACGCTCCACTAAAAAAATGAGTCAAAAGTTTTGCAAGAATTTCAATGTAAAAATGCTCAATGGTGACTTTCAATTGTATGCGTAGTCAATATCATCCTGTATCTATCTAGTATTGAAACCGATATTTCTATTTTATTTACACCTTATGTAAGAATCCTGGGTTTTGATTGGTTGATAGCCAGTGTATTTTTCACCAATTTACTGTTATCAAATGAATATCGTTCATTTTTTTAACGCCGCCGGGGTATATGCAAAAAGGATATGCCTTTTTTACCCTCTCTGCCATGGTATTTGCCAAAAAATACTCTATCCGACTGGACGCTTGTAACGTCACGATCATCAATGCGTTTTTGAACGTTAACATTCGGTGTAATTAAACAGATATAGCATGTTCTTGAGGGGTATTTGCGAAAAATACCAGTCTTTAGAATGAATTTCCCTCGCCTTACGGCTCGCGAAATTTGACATTCTCTCGACTGGTATTTTTCGCAAATACCCCTCCTTAACATGATATATCTGTTGAATATAGTTCCTTGTTGGTCAGTGTGAACAAAGTTTTTTTAGGTTTCAGTTATGTCTTCATGTATATATGGCTTGTATTATATTTGCCTTCGGGTTTATATGATCCGTTCATCCTATTTTGACTCTTTCAAAATTCAAGAGTCTATCCTAAATTGAGGTAAATTATATGGCCTTCCAAATACCGTTTCGATTCCTAACATCACTGAAGAGACATTAATTGTCGAAATCCGGATATGGTGTACTAATTTTTGCACCTCATGTTTGCGGTATACCATCTTTTCTGCAAGTTTATTGTTTTCTGTTTGGTAATAATTTAATAATAAGATCTGTTTTGTTCCATCTTGTGATCCGTTTATTTGGCAATCGCCAATGGCAGTCAGCAGGGTTTAAGAACATCAGTTGTTCGACCTGCTAGTCAAATGCGTTTTGTTAAAATATACCTTTTCACTCATTTGGTCTTTTGGAAAATGTTGTTTGTGCTGTATTTAGACCCCTCTACCAAGAAATTTGTTTTGCATGCACACGTATAGAAATTGCGGTTTTTATCCAACGCAATTATAGGATTGAACGTTGTTTTCAATTTAGACTTGTATATATATATATATATATATATATATATTATGCGATGTGATAGTTTAAGAGTGGTATAGGACAATTGTTGGCAAGTGAATAATTTATATAAAAAAAAACTTTTTTCAAGTTGTTCGACAAATGCCTTTTCTTCTTCTCACAATAACCAAAAGTAGAAACTGTTTTTAGTATTAGAACTTTATTTCGTCCGAACATTTTCTGTAAAACTATACATTTTATCTACTTTAACTCTTACAGTTATATTGAAGCTTGCATTAAAGATTAGGTTAAAG